AATTAGATATAAGGGTAAAGTTGTTAATTTATTAGCAGAATTTTGACTCAAGCGGTTATGTGAAAGTGAATTAAAACTTGAGCGGGTGTTAGAGTAATATCTTAAACGTGAGGGTGTTTTGTGAAAACTCGATAAACTTCATGATGTGTTAATAGTAATTTTCTTCTTTTTTTTCCCTCAAATTCGAATTGTGTGAAATATGATCAGATATTTTTAAAACCTTTTTTTTTTTGTAGGGAAACGATGGGAATTTTCATTCATAACAAAAGCAATTACAGTGAAACATTACAAAAAGAGCCCCTTAGGGTGAGGACAATCCTCAACGAGCGCATCAGTGATAATGCTAGGAGGGTACTCCAACCACTCACAAGAGTGCTCCACAGAGAGGCCAAAACGAGCAAGCCTGTGAGCCACACCATTGGCTTGACGGCAGATATAGGTGAAAGACACTTCAATGACTGATGGAATGAACGCCTTGATGTCTTCCACAATTTACCCAATATAAAAACCTTGAGCCCCCTAGCTAGATGAGGTGGGTGGTAGATCGAATATCTTTCTTTTCTCTCTTTTTCCAAGTAGCTGATGCCAACATGGTGACAAGTTCCTTTGTTTCAACTTTCAAAATACAAAAGCAAACACGCTACACAACATTTCTTGGTCAGACTTAGTTGTTCAGCACCGACTTATGATTTTATTTTCTACCTTGTAGGGTTTAATCAGGAGAATTTTAACGAAAAATCATATTTTTACACTAAAAAGTCAATCATAGTACTATTCACTTTACCCTTTATTTTGTCATTATCATTAAAACTCAAAGTTTTCAAGCAATTTTCATTAATTTTTCTTTTAATCATCCAGCAACGAAGAAATGGGGACTGGTATTGGTATTCGGTTTGGTAGCTGTTGATACTTGCATGTTATTGGAGTGTAAAATTTCCCAAAGTATGGAAATTGCATGAATTTGTACTTACTATTACGTAACAAAAGTCTAACAGGGTGAAATAGTCATTTTATATCTCATTAATTAATTATTTTGAGAAAGTCTCACTCGCATTTCTATTTTTCTTTTAATCTGGTCTATAAATTCTCCCCCAACGGTAATACATCGATTTCTGGCTGCTTGCATTGGTATTCATATATTGCATTTAATTTTTAGCTTTCTTGGATCGTACGATCATTTGTTAATTTTTAGCTAGGTTGAATATGGCGTGACTCTTGATCCATATTTCGCCTTCTGATAACGCTTTGTGTGAGTTTGGTTCTCATAAATAAAAATTTAAAAATTGGACTATCTGAGTTTGACTAAAAATGTGGTTGATGCATTGAAGCGAGTTTAATATATACAATTACACAATTTATAGGAATTAAACTCAATACACTCATATGTTAGGACTCAAAACTTCTAACCACCGTATAAAAATTTGTTTAAAAGTGCTTTTAAAATGGCTGAAAACCCTTTTGGTGAAAATGATATTGGAACATGTTAAACAAGAGTCCTTGTCACAATCCAATCCGTCACCTTTGTAACCAAACCATATTGATATATGTCATCTCGTGTTTGAGATATAGATGGGAATACCGTGAATCCCAATAGGACTCTTTGTAATCAAATGTATTTATACGTTCTCAATGAATGAATGAAGGCTAAGGGTAAGGCTTCTACAATCCTATTTACCCGTTGAAGGTTTTCTACATGCTCTCTCGATCCTAACCTCTGCTTCCCACCATGTCAGTGTCGGCCCCCTCTCTTCCTTCCTGGATCAATCCTTAGTAAAAATACAAGCAAAATTGGGAAAAATACTTGAAATACTCCCTACAAGAAAGCACTCTAAATGTTTTAAAATCCAAAAACATCTTCCCAAAAACTTTCATTCATTTTGAAATTGCTTCTAAACGAATTAAACTCAAAATTTTCGGCCCACTGTAAGGAGTATTGTTTTTTGTAATTCTGTCATAATTTTTTACTTGGCACAATAAAACATCAATTTCCATTAACTTACAAACACAAAAAAACATGTAAATTTGTGATCATTTCTTTGTATAAAAATAACAAATATGGTTTTCCAAATGAGGCTTCTCTCATGCGGACTAATTGCAGCTCTCAAGTGTTGACAAACCTGCAATTTTTTCTAACTTCTCCATTCTCAAAGCTTTCATCATTGGTAATATTTCCCAACTTCACCATCGACTCCGAAAACTGCTCGAAGAAAGCAACTGGATCAGCTGCGTACTTCCTCACAATCTCCCCCGTTTCGATCCCAAACAAACTAGAGTACATTTCCTGATCCGAGTTCAGCAGTCCCTCCCCTTTCAGCAGCAGACGATAGAAAGAATTATCAAAGAGTTCGGGAGTCACGTAATCCATGGCGGTTACGTTATTGTTCCCAACTCCACCAACTGGCGGGCACGTCGATCTCAGGTTGTTGAGGTGCGACTCCGACAGCGGATTGATTCCTGAAGTTGCTTCGAATTCGCCGCTATAAATCCCTTCTCTTACGTTCTCACACCGCGCCATGCCGATTGTGTGAGCCCCTGAAAAGAATGGTCATACATAAAATGATCAACATTTTTCTTACTGTGCATACAAAAGATTTAGCCAGCATCAATAGCTCATGTGCGTATACACGTGGAACTCTTTATGGGTGCGATGGTCACATGTATTCATTTGAGAGGAAGGTCACGTGTGACGGTTGCATACGGTAATATTTGAGCCTTTTTTTAAGTACCTGAAAGAGCCACCATATCTGTGACTGATAAGCCTTGGTAAAGAAATTTGGAGATGATTGTCGAAAGACCTTCATTTGCAGTGGGAAGGTTAGCCTCTGCGAGGTCAGGGCTAGCAGTTATAGAATCTTTTCTTCCTAGAGGAACATCCCAATAAGGTCCACTAACCTGCAAAGTTAAAAACAATAACGAAGCAAGTTTAGGTTAGGCGAGTTGGCTAAGTGATGTGTTCGCCAACTTACAAAGTAAAAAATAATGAAGGAAGCAGATGTTGATTAGAACGCGAGTTAGTCGGTCAAGAGAGTATGCTCGCCCCTGTAACAAGTTTGGACCATCCAGGCTACCCGAATTAAAAAGTAGGTTAGAGTTGTGGGAAAAAAAAGAACAATGAATGAAGGATAAAAACTCTGCTTTTGAAGAAACTTTACACACATATATTAGATGTTTGTATTCTAATTTGTACCAGAATGACAGCATCTCTTGCAGCAATAGTAAGAAGATCAGCGCATGAAACGATTCCAGGGCATTCGGATTCGAGCTTGTTCTTGATTCTGTCAACAATTCTGAAACCTTTTAAAGAGTGTATGTTGGGGGAAGCTTTCTTCTCACCTGTCAGCGTGATTGTGTCCTCAAGCAAAACCGATCCATCACACCCCTATTTACACAATCCAAGAACTCAAATGGGATTCTTAAATTTTAAGAATTCTACAAAAACTTGAAACTATAAACAGTGGTGATCATGTAGTCTTTAAAAATGGGAACCTGAACAAAACAGTCGTGGAAATGCAACCGAACCACCAAGGCGGCATTACGAGGATCAGAGAGCACAGCGCATTCCATTTCTTTCTTCACAATCTCAAACACAGTCGGACATGCAGATTCGTAGTAGTCCAACGTTAACGGAGGGTCACCTGCGCACAAGCCGGTACTCAAAACGACGAAAACTAGTAGCAAGAGTTGCATAACGAAGGGCTGAAAGCAAAGGGAAAAAGGAGCCATTTTCTGTGGCGATCGAGGGCTTTCTTGGAGGATTGAAGAGAGTACTGAGATATATATGTGTGTGTGTGTGCGCGCGGGTGAAAAGTGCAGGAAAATGTTTGCATTGCATGCTGCATGAGGAGTTTTGACTTTTGAGTATTTGGGGTTACGAGATGTCGGGGTCAACAGAGGATGCAACTAATATTTGGCCCGTTTGGTGGGTATTCTCGAACCAGGAGTTCCAAATAAGAGTCAAAAGACGCATGCTTTTCCCAACAAACGTAGCCTAATAACAGCTAACGTTCACCCCTTTACCGTACACTGTCATCGTTTCAATAGTATAACCTTATTAGTACATGATGCTACTGCAAATAGTGTATTCGTGTAACAAAAGTCGTGTTACTAGTTGAGGCTTCCTGCTTACCATCTTCAGGAAAAAGAAAAAGGTCGAGCATATTAAATCGATTGTTGTAGAAAAGTTCAAATTTGAGGATTTGATTATTTCTCCCGTTCTGATATGGCGTGGACTTGTTCATTGGTAGATTAGGTTCAACGGTAAAGTACGTAATCTTATCTTAATTATTCATCTTTTTGTACTAAAGTTTTGGTTGGAAAAATCTAATTTCAATTTGTTTGGGCAAAGAACTAGGATTAGCAAGCAATCCTTGCCACTGTTTCTTTACAGACTAATGCATTCACTATTATTTCTTAATATGTGATTAAGTTCATGATTAGGATATGATTCGTTTCACCTTTCACGTATTCAAATACTATAAATCCAAATCTGTAAATTTGTAATGCGCTCATATTTCAACCTAAGCCACCAATTAGCTCTTAATTTAATGATACTTTTTCGATAGTCGAGGTCTCAAGTTTAACCTAAGACACCAATTAGCTCTTAATTTAAAGATTAACTTTATTTTTAATTGTGACATAAATAAAAGTGGTACACCACGCGTTTTTATGTAAGTGGTGAGAAATTTTATTTTTTAAGTTATTAATTTTTTAACACACATATCCCACAATTTGTATAGTAACACATAGTGTACAACTTCAGGTGCCGGTCATGTTGAAAAATCTCTCACTTTTCTGTCGAGGTCTCAAGTTAGTTTAGAGAACCTAAACCGATAAACAGATCGAACCAATACGTACATGTAATTTGCAACAAGAACGAGGACCTTTTGGAGGAGAGACTTGTGTATGAATTATGGATAAGATTGACGAGAATAATTTACATACCACGAGTTGAAGGTTATAATACGGTCCAGTTGTCGTAATAACGTCCCGTGCCAATAATATGTAGAAAAAGCTAATACATGTTCGTAGATAGTTGATCTATATATCAGAAAAAATGAAATTCGCACAACCAATACAAATTGCAGAAAAAAAAAATTCAGAATTTGTGTAATCCCAGAAAAGCAGATGAGCGAAAAAAGCGTAGACTCAATAAACATGTCAAGTATACATATCGGAATCAAAAGGATGACCGTGATCCTTATCTTGCCCTAAAATCACATAATCCTCACAACCAGAATCAATGCTCGATTCCAAATCAAAGGCTGGGAGGATGTGGGACCTAATCAGGGACAGCACCAAAGCTCCGAGTTGCGGCCACGTCACGCAGAGCGCCGCCCTGATGTTCTTGATTTCGCACGCCGCCAACAGCGCCGCGCCCAGCCCATCCACGACGCTGGCCGAGGGGAAATATTCCAGCTTCAAAGACGGCGCCTTTCTTTCCGCGGTGGTCTCCAGCTTGAACGCTGCCGCCTCGTCCTTCGAAAGCCTGCCTCGGAAGTTGAGGGTCTGGACCGAGTCGAGAATCAGGACCCTCTGGGGGACGATCTGGTGAGAAGTGAGCAGCTTGGCCACGGCGTGGCATCTCTCAGCGCCGATTGGGCACTGGAAGGAAACGAGGAGGGTTGGGGATTCAGGGGTTTGGGGGTTTGGGAGGGAGTAGATGTTGCAGGACTTGTCTTTGAGAGAGGGGTCGATTGAGTTGCCGGAGAAGGGGGTTTCCGGGAGGATTAGGGTTCCGATCAGGGTTTTGTAGGATACGTTGTGGAAGAGGTGGAGGGATGGGGAGGATAGGGCAACGATGAGGAGAGAGGGGCGGAGAGGCATCTCTGCGGCCGCTCCATTAGGATTTTGAGAGAACAAGAGGAAGGGAGAGGGAAGGGGCGGTGACGGAGGTGTGAAGTTGTTGAGATCTTCCTGAAAGAACCTCGATGGCGGCGGAATCTCAGTCAGTACATCTTCCATGACGTATCAAATGTGGAATTATCAGAAGCGAGAACGGAGATGAAGACGATTTAAACGTCGTCGCAACGGGGTATTGAGGATAACAAAAAGAGCGGAGAGAGAGAAGAAAAAGGAACGATGTCGTTTTGGTACAAAATATAAGCACAAATATTGTTCTCCAAGAAAAATACAATTGTTCTTTCTGCAGTATCACCAATTAGTAAAATGAATTAATTTTCTTTTATTAAACCGATAGCGTTAGTGAGTTATACAATTAATTATATTTTTAATAATGCATATTTATAATTTTTGTTTGGAATATACTTCTACAGAAGTTGTTCCTAAGAAAGATTATGGTTCTAGCAATCGCCCTAGAGAGGGGCCGTATATAAATATAATCACGAGAAACAAAGACAACGTGTGGCGAATAACAACGGGGATTAAGGGTGCGTTTGGTACGCGGGACGGGACGGAACGGAACGGGACGAAGCGTTCCGTCCCGCGTTTGGTGCGCTAAAAATGGGTGGAACGGGCTGTTCCACGGGACAGATTTTGGGTGTTTTTGCGTTCCACCTCCCCCCTGGAACGGGTTTGTTCCACGTATGTGAAACACAATGTTTTACCATTTTAAGACAAATATACCCCATGTCTTTTTCAAAAATTACACCTTCGTTCCGTCCCGTCCCGTCCCGTCCCGTCTTGTCTGCGTACCAAACGCACCCTAAGAGACTGTAAAGATGGCTTTCGAGACCTAATTACTCGAAGAAAACGAAAAATTCTGTTAATCATGGATGGTTTAGAAAAGAAATTAGCCATTGTATTCACAAGAACCTTACAGCTGACTCGAAAAAGTGTACAACTATTACAGTTCCAGTTACACATCAAATTCCTTGCATTAGCATATCAATCATGCCAGCAGATTCAAATTGAAGGCAATGAACGGAAAGCTGAGCCAGAATCAAACTTCTGTACCCTTGCCAATCTATTCATTCAACCTGCTACCCTATCGTATCCCGCTTAACATACCATCCCTGCAATCACGACGCACTTGTTCCACCAAAATCGTTTCACTATCAAAAGAATACATCAACGGTGTAAATGTAAGATGTTCCTCGTCTGCAGGAAAAATGAAGACTACATTCCTCAGTCTAACTAGCAAGGGAAATAAAGCAGACAGCAGTTTTTAGGTGTCCCGTTTCTTTTCGTATATGCATGTGCTACTAAAATAGCGTAACAGCTGCCTCAAATTCTATAATTACGACGATTCCACTTGAAAATGTGGTTTAAATTATTCTGCACAAAATGCAATATGAAAATGTGGTTTCTTTCTTGTGGAATCCCAATGGATTCCCTAAAATTTAAGAGTACCTTTGCTCGAGGGTCACGGTGTGGCTGTAAATTCTGTTTCTCGTTTAATCTTCATGATCATCTTCTTCACCTTCAGAATCTGTACAGAGAAATTGATAAAGAAACAAAAAGCAAAGATCAGGCAACAAACTAAGACGATGGATAATCGAAAGAGAACCAGATCATAAAAGGAAATTAAGGATGCAGGTGCAAATACATTGGTGCCTCGTAATCACATTATGTACATTGTATTTTGACAGAACATGAAAAAAATATGACAATTCACTCACCTGACCGAACATCCTCACTAAGCTGGCCTCTTGCTTGGATTTGTTTAACAAGCATCCGATAAATCAACACCCACCAGAAAATATGAAGCACAAGTAAGCAGAATAGGAGAGTATTGAACACATAGTAGTATATTGGTCCATCTATAGCGTGTTTCTCCTTGTCCAATGTCAGGATAACTTCGTAGCTACCAGAAAGAGAAGCAAGCAAACATAATACAACATAGAAAGTTTTAGCGGGCACGGCATCATAGAGACCAGAGCTTCGTTTGTAAAACTACTACGGTCTGTTCTTTCATCAAAAAATTTGAAGATGAAATGTCACTTTAATATAAGTTAGGCATCTAGTTAGACAAACCTTGTACTCCAAAGGACCCAGAATGGATAGTAAATGAGTCGCAGTATGATCCAAGACAATACAAAAAGAATAAATGCAAAGCTAGCAGTCCCTTCCGCACCACTGTATTTGGACATCTTCCCTACCTCAAGAAACACATCACTAGCATCATGAAGAGCTAAAACAACTGAACCTACGCGGGCAAACCTGCAAGAAACAGGAGAAAGTGACAGAATGAAATATATCGTAAAACATAGTGAATATATCTTTTATGTTTTCCTAGATTTTTTAAGCTGAATACCCATAGTGCTTGTGTTATGCTATTACGTCAAATAAGCCCTCCTTCATACCTTTTTTAGGTTGTAGTATTCTTGCTTCGTTGGTTTTGTGACTAAAAGAATATGAGAAAGCTACAAACTCACGCCATCAGAACATACCTGAAAATGTAAGACAGCACAATGAGAATGACAGTTGCTACATGATGGCTCATGGACACCCCAAAGTCTGAACGCCTTGTTTCCCAGAAAATCAAAGCAAATATGGAGTATGTGTAAAATCCAGCAGCATACATATAAACCCCCTTCAATTTCAACCTGAAATTCACAAGTAACATTTTATGGACTTTGATAAAGCTCAACTTTTGTATTAGTCAAACGATGATTGAGCACAATACTGACACTCCCATCACATATGTCTGTCTTAATCTGAACAAACAGAAACGTGACACATTCTAATTAAGAACTCTTACTTCATTTTTTGGTCTGGCCAGACCTGGTCTCCTGGTCCTACCCAAAAGTATTTCGTATTAGTAAACCAAGGCTCTTCATAAGTTACAGAGAGGGCTAGAAACTCTGCTGAAAGAAAATATATGCATTTCCATGCTGACTCCTTGAATTTTCTAATCTTCTTCCTTTGTTCATCAGTTTTTAGATCCCGCTTCTGAGTGCCCTTTCCAAAAATTAACCGCCTCCCCAATTTCTGCAATATCAGATGTAAACTAACACTGAGCAAATAAAGATCTTAAGAGAAAGAAACTCTGCAGTCATGTTCACAATTAAATACATGTTTAACTAGAAATGGAAAACAAAAGCTGCCCTGGACTAAACTAGAAACCTTTAGCTTGGGTGAAGATCAGGCTGTACATTTTACATAGCTTAGTACAGCTAGGAAAAGGCTAGAGCTCCCTTCAAGAATAATCAAGAAAATCAGTATTTTTAAGCAAAAGCATTCACCATCGCAACATAGCTAGTGTGCAAAAGAAATGGAGAAACGTAACCGATCCTATTATACCTCATAAACAATGATCTTACACCAACAATCAACACTGAGACCCTCATGTTTATCGATCTGGCCATACAAACTAATCGGTCATACGCAGGAAGACTACTACAAGCGGTTTAAGTTGCTTCTAGGAAATAAAAACATCAGCACTTATAAAGAAAGCAAACATGTTAATACTACATTGATCTTATGTCATTAAATAAACAAGGCAGGTACAATTTTGACTCAATCATTAACCTTTAATCGACATCAGAGGAGCTTCTTACTCGAAAATCCCCAAGTAAACCAAGTTGTTTTCTTTCTCATCCCTTCATAGCTTAAAGAAAGTACAAGCCGAAAGAAGATCTAAACGAAACTGAAAGACAAGGCAAACAAACATTGAATCTTAAAGACCCCAAAACCAGTCAAATCACTTCATAACGATCAAACATATCCTGTTAACCAATCTGATATCCAAGCACAACCCATCATACAAAAGTGCATTTCCCACATGGGTCGATCAACATCACCCTAAAACATCATTAACGATCTAAAATTCGGAGAAACAACATTAATCACATGAGTAAGCTACAAAAGATCGAAACTTTAGCTGCTCGAATCAAATCTAGGTACCTCAAAGACGAATCTATCCAGAAAAAATCGGACGGTTGGGAAGTAGAGGACGAACAAAGGAAGAATTGCGAAATCTTCATATGCTGGGTAGGCTTCTTCCTCCCAATCGATTGTCCTCAAGTACTCCGCCAAACCCATCTCGGATTTCACTTCCCGTGATCCAAATTTTCCCAGGAAACAAACAAGTCTCTAGCTTTGGATCAGATAGAGAAGCAGAGACATCCAGGGGCACTCCTCTCTCTCTCTTTCACAATCTTTATTTCTGAAAAGGTTTGAACTTTTACGTAACTAGAGCTCTGTATAGGGACTAAGGACTGGGACCAGTCCAGTAAATTTTTAATTTTTAATGGGATGATGGCCTTTCGATAAATTTTCCCTGAATTTCTTGTGTGGGAGGACGGACTTTGAATCTGGGATTCCAATGTGATCCTGTGGCTGTGTGGAGCTGGAGATGGATTTGGATCCCATCCGGATCCAAATAGTGAAAATCTTAGAAATCCTCACATCTTAATTATTCATCATGCATCGTGCGATCATAAATCATTTGATTTTTTTATTTAAAATTAAACACAAATAATACTTGACAAAAACTAACTTCACAATATACGATGAACTGTTAAGATGTCGGAATGAGAGTATCCTCTTCCGCTGGAGATCACTTGGTTGTGCGCCACCTGGCAATGGGCTTACATGGGCCCACCCAATTTTGGGGCTTCTTGTGTACACTTCGGGGAATTCTGGATTGCGAAAGAATTTGAATTTATTGTGGTTCGGATGTAACGATCTTTTATGAAAGTGCATTCAAATTTCTTAAATGTTTGCAAAGTACAATGTTTAATGCAGTCATCCCAGATTTCACCAAATTTAATAAGAAGTTGGAAAAGAACGTGCTTTTTTTGTTGTCAGGATCAGGAACCTTCGTGATCCGCCTATTATCTTGTTGCATGAATAATTTTTAATCTTTGTGTTGTACTCTTGTGCAGATGCTCTCACTTTAACCTTATTATGGAATATAATCACAGGATGATTCAGTAGTTGATGTTAATTTTAAACTTATATTTCACACGGTTGATTTTGAATTCGACTTCCAACGTCCAAGAATAACATAATGATAATTAGAGAGAAGCTAAAACTTTTCTTTCTCAAAAAAAAAAATGGACTGGTGTGGCTTTTGCCAGCCGCGGGTCCCTTTTTTAAAAGAGGAAAGAAAAAAAAACATGCCAACATTTATTCTTTCTTAAAGTAGCTTTTGACAATTGCTTCTGAAAGGGACGCATTTTGCTGCAGCGGCTATGCAAAGATGGTACCAAATATGAAA